CATATTAACTGGAACCTCATGAAGATCCTATGTATGATATTATGTAAGCAGTACTATTGTATTTATAAGCAATCCTTGTGTATACATACAATTTCTAGCTTTTCGTATGTAAATATGAGGATAATTCTTCACCAGCGGGAGACGTTAATCCCTCTAAGCAAGTTTATCAAATAAAATTTTTATATTAACCTCAGGACGATCGATTTGAACATTGGAATAGCATAAATACTCTAATTTTACCGTAGATATATAGAGAGGGTCACACCACTGTCTTTGGACTTCCGTCAACAAAGGAATATTAGCATTCTAAGGTTGATTTTGACATAAAAACAACAAGACAATACCAACATGTCAACATATTTATAAATCATAATTCAAATTCGATTACACTTGGTGTCACCCACCATGTAAATCTTGGTAAATCCAAGTCGTGTCAGAGTCTCAAATGAGAACATGTTATACAGCAATTGTAAACTAAAAATTGATTCATGGGGAGACTTAATTGTTAACAGCATTAAATTGTGAAAAAAAAACCCCAATTTCAATTGGAAGTTGAATTGGTTGTCTCAAATAAAATATATTTCTGCTTAATTTTGAGGTTATTCATGCATGATAGTACTAAATAGAAGTTGCAGCTACTGTTCAATAACTTATATAGGCACCTAGTTCAAGATGTTTAATGGAGACTTCAGAGCAAACCTCTACATGAATGACCAATAGATGATGCTGGCTAGACTAATATCACTTACCAGCTGTGTGATCCTGCTAGGTAACATTGTGGTATCTTATGCCCTGTTACTTAAAAGACAGATGTTGAAAAGAGAAAGAAGCTGTTTATGAGTTGGCTCAATTATTAGTGCATATTGCATGTGGTTATTTCTAATTCAGTTGTAAGAAATGTTTGGCTTATGCTGAAAGGTACTGTACATCATACAATCTTGTGATACTTTTATAGTGCTATGAACTTATGATACTACATGGTGCTCTGAACTTATAATACTACATGGTGCTGTAGACTTATGATACTACATGGTGCTATAGACTTATGATACTACATGGTGATATAGACTTATGATACTACATGGTGCTATAGACTTGTGATACTACATGGTGCTATAGACCTGTGATATTACATGGTGCTATGAACTTATGATACTACATGGTGCTATAGACCTGTGATATTACATGGTGCTATAGACTTGTGATACTACATGGTGCTATAGACCTGTGATATTACATGGTGCTATAGAATTATGATACTACATGGTGCTTTAGACTTGTGATACTACATGGTGCTATAGACTTATGATACAAGATGGTGCTATAGACTTGTGATACTACATGGTGCTGCAGCACTTGTGTTAGTACATTGTGCTATAGACTTGTGATACTACATGGTGCTATAAACTTATGATACTACATGGTGCTATAAACTTATGATACTACACAGTGCTATAGACTTGTGATACTACATGGTGCTGTAGACTTGTGATACTACATGGTGCTATAGACTTATGATACTACATGGTGCTATAAACTTATGATACTACATGGTGCTGTAGACTTGTGATACTACATGGTGCTGTAGACTTGTGATACTACATGGTGCTGTAGACTTATGATACTACATGGTGCTATAGACTTGTGATACTATACGGTGCTATAGACTTATGATACTACACGGTGCTATAGACTTGTGATACTACATGATGCTGTAGACTTGTGATACTACATGGTGCTATAGACTTGTGATACTACATGATGCTGTAGACTTGTGATACTACATGGTGCTATAGACTTGTGATACTACATGGTGCTATAGACTTGTGATACTACATGGTGATACTACATGGTGCTATAGACTTATGATACTACATGGTGCTATAGACTTGTGATACTACATGGTGCTATAGACTTGTGATACTACATGGTGCTATAGACTTGTGATACTAAATGGTGCTATAAATTGTATGTGATATGCTACTCACCTCTTAAATTTTCAGTACTGTATTAATGGAATCACATACTGTGATTGTACATGGAGTTGTGTTACTTCATTCTTATGTGTTACTTTGAAGTTACATGCTGTGATGCTACATGGAGTTGTGTTACTTCATTCTTGTGTGTTACTTTGATGTTACATGCTGTGATGCTACATACTAGCATACTTTTCCCAGTATTTGTTACAAGAAATATTAGTCCTTAATCTTTCTGACAAGACACCAAAAATATTTAGAGAAAGATGAAATCCATAATCTGTAAGTTTGCTATAGTAAGTTGATTTTGATCAGTATAATGGGCCCTAGTTAAGAAGAAAACAGAAGGAAGTTCTAATCTAGGTATTCCCACTTTGTTTGGTCAAGTAGGTACCAAAGAGTGTATATCATTCTCTTTATCAACAGAGCTTATTTAAATAGAAAAATCAGTTTCATCCTTTAATCTGTCTGTTATCCAGATAATAACTTCTGTAATATTTTGTGTATATGTTGGTAGTGTAATGATACCTTAGGGCGTTTTCCATTGGCTGAACTGGTACATCATGATTTGAGAATGGCACAACAAACTGACTGCCTCTGCTTGATTTTGTTCTCCACATTTTGACCTTTAAAACCTCTCAAAATGAGGGATGTGATAAAAATTTATTTTATTTCAAATGAGATTCAGGAAGTTTTGTTTTTTTAGTTTGGCAATGTTCATGAAAAAATAATTTCATATACTTGTTTGAAAAACTCTCATATAAATGAAAATTGGTTTTGAGTCTCATTTTGGATGATATATTCACTAAAACTCAACTAATATATTTTCTTTGTCTGCTTTGATAAAAAAAGGTTAAGGAATTGAATGGTATAAATAATACAACTTTAATCAGATAATACTTAAACTTTTTCATTGTCGCCGCATTATTGAAATAACACTATCAAAATCTCTCTAATTGCCATACACTATTGACCAATTACCTGTAAAAAGATTAACCTCATGAGGTCATTGACCAAGCTCTTCACCTACATATGGTCAGGTATATATCGTTCAACAAAATCAGGTCTCGGTTAAAACCGAATACAAATACAATAATTTATAATTAGTTGTGAGTTGAATGGAGACCTGCTGTAATAGTGTGCGAGAATTATCGTCATACAGGAAAGGAGACCTGCTGGATTACTGTGCAAGGCTTTTCCTCATAAAGGAGTAGAGACTCGCTGTATTACTGTGCGAGGGTTTTCCTCATAAAGGAGTAGAGACTCGCTGTATTACTGTGCGAGGGTTTTCCTCATAAAGGAGTAGAGACCTGCTGTATTACTATGCGAGGGTTTTCCTCACAAAGGAGTAGAGACCTGCTGTATTACTGTGTGAGAGTTTTCCTCATAAAGGAGTAGAGACCTGCTGGATTACTGTGTGAGAGTTTTCCTCATAAAGGAGTAGAGACCTGCTGGATTACTGTGTGAGAGTTTTCCTCATAAAGAATTAGAGACTCGCTGTATTACTGTGTTAGATTTGTCCTCATACTGGAGTGGAAACCTGTTGTATTACTGTGTGAGTGAGTTGTCCTGCATGGGTTCTTCAGATTTGGTCTGAAAATTCTTTGGTAAAGGGGATTCAGTCTTCTATAAACGATCAATGGGTCTTTCCTGCTAGGCACGTGAGGGACAGTGCCCCAAGAGAGGAAATACCGTATTTTACCTAATTAGTGCTCTGTGCATTTGTGAAAACACAAAATGAGTGCTCTGGATTAACATTTTCTGTACTCATTTCCGTTTTGTTCCTGAAAGTGATTATAAGGTAGTCTTCTACATATGATGTTTTACAGAGCACATGGTGAAATGAATCTGTTCTGATTAAAGGATGATTTAGAGCTGTGTTATAGGTTTGGTATATTGCCATTTATTTGTTGCTATTTATTGAAGGAATTAAGTAGAAACATACTTACTTAATATCTATGAGAAAATACAACAGAATTGTTCATTAGAATGACAGAAAGTGGGAGTGTTTATCAGCTCACTGTACCACTTAATGTAAGATAGGGTAAACTTATGACTCAATCAACCGACGATTATAACTCATTTTGATACGGTCTTGTTTGATTTTGTTGATTAGCACATGATTTGTTTATATTTAGATGTTTTACTAGTAATCTTCAGTTTTTCCCATTATCAGTATGACCAGAAATAGAAAGTAAAAACAAGTCTACCATTTTGTTGTTAGCGTAAACAACCCTATAAAAACCAAACAATTTCAGAACAGAAGACTGTTTTAGCAAATGAGTTAAATATTCTCATTCTATGTTTGATGTTTATGTATTTTGTGTGCAATATCCTTTCTATGCAACACACTGATTGAGCAAGTAACGCAATCGTCTATCCAGGTCAGCTATAGATTTTAATAAGCACACTCATTTTTTTTCCTTCGAAGAAGGTGGGAGGTGCTTGTATGGGGGCAGGTGTGCTAATTAGTTCAAATACAAAAGAGGAAATTCTTTAATATCCTTCTTTATTAGGATTGTCAGGGTTCTGTCCCTAATTTGGTCTGAGGCAGCCTTGGGTGGAGGGGAATCAATTTTGTATAAATGGTAGATATCTAATCCCTGGCGTAGTAGGGGCTGCACACATAAAGGGAAATAGAGAAATTCTTCAAAGTCATTCCTCCTTTATGGAAATGCCAGGATTCTGTCCCTATTTTGCACTGAAGCATCCTTCTGTAAAAGGGAATCAACTGAGGCAGAAGAGTGGAGCCCAATGGAGAAATACATATATAAACCCATAGAATTCCTTTTCCTTTTGTTAGGATGGAACAGTTTTAGCTGAACAAAGACATGTGAGCGATACAGACCTTGTGGGCCTCTTGTGTGAGAGCTGTCCTGAACAGGTGTAGAGACCTGCTGTAATATTGTGTGATTTTTTTTCCCCTGACACTCTGGTTTTCATTGCATGCATCATTGTAAGTACTGTAGTGCAATACAAATATTGTGAATAGTGTTTAACATGTGTATTTAATTTCTTTTCCAGAGACGAGGAGGGATTTCCTTTGATAGAAAAGACAAGAATGCCATCTATGTCAGAATGCTTGGTATGTTTGTTTTTATCTGAATCATGGTAACATGTCAAGGACATTATTCTTTTTATTGGAACTAACTTTTGATTTTGTCAAAAATTGCAAAAGCCGCATGTAACTTTGATTTCACTGAGACTTTAACATTTATTTGAATTTTGTATAAATGTACTTAAATGTTGTAATAAACCTGTTAAACAATTTCACTCAAATGTATCTAAAACAATGGTGTATAATGTATGAATTAGCCATATTGGATAAAGCCTACTATGAGATACATGAAACACTATAAAACAATGGTGTATAATGTATGAATTAGCCATATTGGATAAAGCCTACTATGAGATACATGAAACACTATAAAACAATGGTGTATAATGTATGAATTAGCCATATTGGATAAAGCCTACTATGAGATACATGAAACACTATAAAACAATGGTGTATAATGTATGAATTAGCCATATTGGATAAAGCCTACTATGAGATACATGAAACACTATAAAACAATGGTGTATAATGTATGAATTAGCCATATTGGATAAAGCCTACTATGAGATACATGAAACACTATAAAACAATGGTGTATAATGTATGAATTAGCCATATTGGATAAAGCCTACTATGAGATACATGAAACACTATAAAACAATGGTGTATAATGTATGAATTAGCCATATTGGATAAAGCCTACTATGAGATACATGAAACACTATAAAACAATGGTGTATAATGTATGAATTAGCCATATTGGATAAAGCCTACTATGAGATACATGAAACACTATAAAACAATGGTGTATAATGTATGAATTAGCCATATTGGATAAAGCCTACTATGAGATACATGAAACACTATAAAACAATGGTGTATAATGTATGAATTAGCCATATTGGATAAAGCCTACTATGAGATACATGAAACACTATAAAACAATGGTGTATAATGTATGAATTAGCCATATTGGATAAAGCCTACTATGAGATACATGAAACACTATAAAACAATGGTGTATAATGTATGAATTAGCCATATTGGATAAAGCCTACTATGAGATACATGAAACACTATAAAACAATCAGTTGACCTTTTTAAAATTGGTATTCATTATTTGAATTGTTGGGTGGAAAATCTCATGCGTTTATTCTGGCTATGCACTCTTGATGAAAGATCAGAGTTTTTATTCAGTTAATGAGTGCATCTGTTATTCATTAAAAACTAAAAAAAAATGAAAAAAAAACTTCTCGCTATGATTTAAAACTATTTATAAAAGATATCAGATTTTCTCCCCATTTAATAAAATGAAGCTGTTATTTATCAAATAAAATTTAGTTCAGCCAGACCTTTTACATGTCAAACTTTCATGAGAATATTTTACCAAACAATGAGACAATTGTCACTCGCTGACTAGCAGGACAGGTGGTTGGTGACACTTGTTTACAAAGAAATATTCTTCCAATACCATTTTAGTATGAACCAAGACAATCATTAGACATTTACCGTGTCTAATTGTAGGTTCTAATTGTCCTATTTTCACCTGTTTGTTTGTCCTTTGTTCATCTCAAAACAAAATCATTCCAGGTGCTAATTTGACTGGTGGTCAGCCAAATCTATTCAATAATAGGTCTCCATACCTGTCAAGCAAACATTGTATATGGTATTGGTCAAATACACATGATCGATGGTGTAGTGTAATGACATATCTCATTTCTTGATAAGTGCTAGCATTAGGTTTGTAGGAATATTGTGTTAGCCAACTGACCCTAGACATCATGTCTGGTGGGAGAATGACAGACAACTGACCGTAGACATCAGGTCTGGTGGGAGAATGAGAGACAACTGACTGTAGACATCAGGTCTGGTGGGAGAATGACAGACAACTGACCGTAGACATCAGGTCTGGTGGGAGAATGATAGACAACTGACTGTAGACATCAGGTCTGGTGGGAGAATGACAGACAACTGACTGTAGACATCAGGTCTGGTGGGAGAACGACAGACAACTGACTGTAGACACCAGGTCTGGTGGGAGAATGTGATAGCCAACTGACCGTAGACATCATGTCAGGTGGGAGAATGATAGACAACTGACCGTAGACATCAGGTCTGGTGGGAGAATGAGAGACAACTGACCGTAGACATCAGGTCTGGTGGGAGAATGACAGACAACTGACTGTAGACATCAGGTCTGGTGGGAGAATGTGATAGCCAACTGACCGTAGACATCATGTCAGGTGGGAGAATGACAGACAACTGACTGTAGACATCAGGTCTGGTGGGAGAATGACAGACAACTGACTGTAGACATCAGGTCTGGTGGGAGAATGACAGACAACTGACTGTAGACATCAGGTCTGGTGGGAGAATGACAGACAACTGACTGTAGACATCAGGTCTGGTGGGAGAATGACAGACAACTGACTGTAGACTTCAGGTCTGGTGGGAGAATGACAGACAACTGACTGTAGACTTCAGGTCTGGTGGGAGAATGACAGACAATTGACTGTGGACATCAGGTCTGGTGGGAGAATGACAGACAACTGACTGTAGACATCAGGTCTGGTGGGAGAATGACAGACAACTGACTGTAGACATTAGGTCTGGTGGGAGAATGACAGACAACTGACTGTAAACTTCAGGTCTGGTGGGAGAATGACAGACAATTGACTGTAGACATCAGATCTGGTGGGAGAATGAGAGACAACTGACCGCAGACATCAGTTCTGGTGGGAGAATGACAGACAACTGACCGGAGACATCAGGTTTGGTGGGAGAATGACAGACAACTGACCGCAGACATCAGGTCTGGTGGGAGAATGACAGACAACTGACTGTAGACATCAGGTCTGGTGGGAGAATGACAGACAACTGACTGTAGACTTCAGGTCTGGTGGGAGAATGACAGACAACTGACTGTAGACTTCAGGTCTGGTGAGAGTATGACAGACATCAGGTCTGGTGAGAGGATTACAGACAACAGACAGTGGACATCAGGTCTGGTGGGAGAATGACAGACAACTGACTGTAGACTTCAGGTCTGGTGGGAGAATGTGTCAGCCAACTGACCATGGACGTAGGCTGAGAATGTTAACGTATTAAATAACTGACATCAGGTGTGTGGGGAGTGATAATGTATTAAACTCTGATAAACGGATGGTGGACATACGGTCAGATAAGGTGTAAACAATATATTATGATTGTATTGATAAAATGGAGACAATCAAATACCAAATCACCTGTTCTTTTCCCAGCCTTCTTCTAATGTCAGTTTATTTACCAATGCAATCTGTACCAGTGTCTACAAATGTCATGTTATTCTATGATAAACTTCCTCATACTATAGCGGCTTTCAGATCAATTTTTTACACCTGTTTTTTTCATTCATATCATCTACTTTTGATTGTTAAACAATTGTATGATTGAAAGTACAAAATTATAATGTGCTTTTTTGAGACAGAAATAACACTATTTTGTAAAAGATCAAGCCGACATGTTGATAACTGTTTATGTGATTTGTGTCCAAAATACATTTTGAGGGAAGGTATAATGATGTCTATCGCTAAAAGTAGCGTAGACCTGAAGGAATTTATACACAAATGTTAACAATACTTTTCTCCATTTTATTTTTAAATCTAAATTTGCCTATTGAAACAGAAAAGATGTCATTCTTATTTTAAAATTTGTGTCAAGTTTAGATTGAAATGGGACAAAGTTCACCGTATCTCATTAGTGGGTTGGTAATGTTTTATAAGATTTTTTTTTCCATTCAATGATTCCCTACATATTGTATTGATTGGATCAGTTGTACTCTTGACTTTTATATGAAGCATGTATCCAGTAAAATTAGTTGTAGACAATTTTATAAACTTATACTTTTTCCTGTATGTATTCAGTCTTATTTTGAAATATTTCCGTTAATGAACTTTACCCTGTTCATTCACGACCCAGACTCTGTAAAGCAAAATTTTACTTTGTGGTTACTTATCAACCTTAGTCGGTAATTAGTTCTGTGATTACAAAGACGGCATAAAAATACATCTAAATATATGAAAATATTTTCTGCACATAAGCCTTACAGGAATCTATATCCGTCCTGATGTCAGTGTAATAATATCCATATTATAAAATTGTGTTATTACTCATGTGTTTTATGACCTAGCAGAGCTGTGATTGGCTGAAGGTTCATGGGATTGTATCAATTATCACAACGATGCATTGTGATGTCATCAAAGTGTACCAGTTAAGATTTTGTATAATTTCTTTATAAAAGTATCTAAGTTTTAATATAAGGTTTATATAATTGAAGATGTACACATTATGAATTTTATGTGTTTACGAAAATGAAGCTGGAGTGTTAGGACATACATTTCTATTTTTGTTCATCATAGATGAATACGGTGGATGTGAAAAAACGGGCAATAGAATCAGTTAAAATACAAATTATATCGGGGATTATGGCTTAAAGGTAAACATTGTGTGACCTGTATCTGTCTATTGTGATGCAATACATGTAATATCACACTCAAGACTGTGGGTAAGCTGTTGGTGATGTATGTCTGAAATACACAGAGTGATATTTAAACCTGGTGTAAAAACAATGAGCTGGTCTGTTATAACCCTAGTGCTGTTGGTGGGGATCTGGTATTACACATGTGTGTTTAGGGTTTTTCACTATTACACATAAGTGTATTTATCGTACATGGGTTATCATGTGTGTTTAGGGTTTGTCAGTATTACACACATGGGTGATTAGGTGTGTTTAAAGTTTGTTAGTAATTACACATGAACATATTTTACTAAAATTGGTGGGCAGGTGTTTTTAGTGTTTGTTGGTATTATACACATAAGTGTATTACACTTGGGTGATCAGGTGTGTGCAAGGTAATGTTAGTTTAACACATAAATATAATACACATGAGTGTATTACACACATGAGTGGTTGGATGTGTTAGGACTGTTAGTACTACACATGAGTTTATTACACACATGAGTGGTTGGATGTGTAGGACTGTTAGTAC